GGTGAACAAAAATGGAGAGATATTCAATTCACTAATATATTTCAATATATTAATATAATTTTTTATATATTAATAGTTCCTCAGGTCAATAAGTTCCTCAGGTCATTTGAAGCAACTTTTTCCTTTACAAAAATTCTCTCCGAGGCACCGTTAACGAGTTATTAACGAAAAACCGTGACCAATGAGAGGCGAGCTCAACTGGCGCGAGGCGACCGAGCCAATGAACCGAACTGGGCTTCGCGCGCTAGTTGACTGGGCCGCCTCGCGTCAGCCGTACTAGATTCTTATCGGTCACTGTTTTTCGTTAATAACTCGGTGCCTCAGAGAACATTTTTGTAAAGGAAGAAGTTGCTTCAAATGATCTGAGGAACCCGCCATTTCCGGATTGCGAGACATTTTTGGGACACCCTGTATATTAATATATTTATTATTAGAAATTTGACGAAAGTTGTAAGACAATTTCGTGGAGAATATGAAAGAGAAAATTGTCCGTGCAAATCGAGAGAATAATCAATAAATTTGAAGAAAATGGTTCACTTGATAAGATAATGTTAGTAAACAAAACGTCATCGTAGTGCACATTCTGAAGAAGTGCAATTAGCTAATTTGTATTCAAGTAAAATAGCTCCTCGATGATTACATACATACTCGGTTGATCGAGTGGCAGCCGTAGAGTATGATGCGTCGATAATTATATGACACGAGATCGTTTCTCGAATAGCAAACGGCCGAAAATTTGCTGCAACGGTCTCGCTCGTTTGCACGGCCACGCGGCTTTTTATTTATTTACTAGCACGGGAGTACGAGTACTAGCGCGAGAGTACGGCCGTTACTAGCACGAGAGAGAGTACGAGGCTACGAGCTGTCATGGTCTGGCGTCGTTCCAAGGCTATTTTCGTTTTCAGGTTCCCGCGTCCCCATAGCGTTTCGCCTTCCTCTACATTTTTCCACCGTAACTATCTAGCGTCGTGGATCCAAGTTCGCATAGCGCAATCAACCGCGAGATCGCGAACGAGAGGCGATTTGCCTGCGTGCGCTCGCGGCACACAGAATACAGTGTAGGAAATTCCTACGAGAACGTTACTATTTTTAATAAAAATGTAAAGAATTTTGACGATGTAACAGAAGATAATATAACAGAAAATATAACAGAAAATATAACAGAAAATTTAGCGTACAGAAAATATAACAGAAAATTTAGTGTACAGAAAGGAGAAACATTGTTAGATTTTAGCATAATTAAAATGATGCAATTTATTGCACAGAAATGTAGCGAAATTTGTATAAAAACAGTCCCTTAAATTAATTCGATGAACGCTAAATTCACAGGTTAATAACTAGTACGCGCGACCGCCTTCATTTTTAATTAGTTCAAATATACCGTTCTTCACATAGTATTAACTATGTTTCTCGAATATGATTTTCTGGATTTCATCAACATTAATACAGTTTCTTCAAGGTTGTGCTAGAAGAAGTTAAAATTATCAATTAAGAATAAAAGCGATCGTACCAGTTATTAGTCTGCGAATTTATAAATTTAAGGAACTGTTCTTATGAAAAAATTTCGCTACATTTCTCTATACAATAGATTGTATTATTTACGGATCCCTGATGCTTCGCATATTTTTCCCGAGAAATACGCAAATATATGCTACAGTTTTCAACCGAAATTTTGTTGAAATCGTTGTCGCGACACGTTGTTCCTTGCAGACGTGTAATAAAAGATAGCGAGAACATCAGTTTTCCATTAGAATTTATCGCGTGAAACGGGCGAGAGGGAGCAAAGCGAAATCTCGTCTCGCGGATCAACGTCTCGGTGCCCTCGCCTCCTTCGTCGAAAGGGCTCGACCGTCTTCCCCCTTCGCGGCTCGAGGCAGGAGGGTAAGAAACGCCGCGTAAAAACTTTCTCGTTTCTCGAAGCCGCGTTAACGAACCGCGACCATGCGCGGTCTAATTACGCGAACCGGCGCGACGCGGCTCGGCGTTCCTTCGCTGAAACGAATGCCGTCGCGAACGCTCGAGCCGTTCCGGTCGAAAAGCTCGAAGAAAAGCGGGACCGGCGTCGACGGGCAACAATGTTTCCGATGGGAAAAGTCGCGTGTAAGAAGGATCGACGAAGACGCGCGTCCCGGGATCGCGAGGCTCGCGCGAATCACTGCTACGGTTCGCGCCGTGCTCCGGCCGTCGCCATTTCCCAGCAAGTTTCCATTTACGGAGTCTAATGGTACAACCTGTCTAGAAAGTCCCGGCGGTTCCTCGTCGATCGGAGACGCGAGGAGACTGTCCGTTCTCCTAAGTCCGATCCGCTGCCGAGAACGCGAACGGGAACGCGAACAAGAAAGAGCACGATCGCCTCGAACCGAGAATTATTGTAACCAATAATTACTGTAACCGATTTATAATAATTGGATGAAAAGCGATCCGATTCGTGATTAACAATTAAAACGCGTTGATCGTTATATATTATTGTGAATTAGTTATAATACCTGTCGCGTTATAATCGTTAATCCTCGATCAGATTGCCATAAATTATTATAAATTACTAGAAAATTGCTGTAAGTTATCACAACAATATTGACATAAAAGTATAATACAGTTAAAAAAGAAATTTTGAGTACTTCGTTTGGGGTTATTTTTCACCCGTTAGCGAGAACTTGCACGCCTGATTGAAATTATTTGAAAATAATTGCATTGCTTTCAACCGACAAAAATGATTAGGAATACTAATAAATGTCTATGACTTTTAGTATTTCACTTGGGGGTATTTTTTTACCCGTTAGCGAGAACCTGCACGCCTGATTGAAATCATTTGAAAATAATTGCATTGCTTTCAACCGACTGAAATGATTAGGCAAACTAATAAATGTCCACGTAGCTCCTGTATCCCGTAACTAGCGTAACTAACAATTTTTGCTTCGCATAAAAATCCGCGGTCCATCGATTACGCGCAGCCTAGAAAAAGAGAAAGAGCGTCAATCGACCAGACTTCCGGTAAAAAATAAAGAAAAGAATCGAAAACATTGGACATCGCGTGGAAATGAATCCGGGGAGGGAGCACAACACCCACGCGTCGAGACACGCGATATCGAGACCAGCTGTCGATCCGACCGACACCCTCTTCTTCCTACTCTCGGGGCGACCTCGACGGGACAGGGTCGTCGTTCCGCAGGGTTCGAGCTTGGAAATAGAAGCGTCGCCGATCGTGTCTCGCCTGAATGGGATCGACGGTGAAACCAGTTTGGTGGTCGAGGTCGCCGATCGATCGGCTCCCGGTAAAATCGAGCGAAAGAGGATCGTGGTGCCACGTACCTTCTGCGCCTTGCAAGCAGCGGCCAAGGGTAGCACGTCGTGGGAATGGGTCGCGTGTCGTTCCCGAAGACACAGGGCGCATATCGCGATCTTGCATAGAGCACAGTAGAGGGTCAGCGGCTCGCCGTTGTGATCGTTGCAAACCGGTGTCGGCTCGGCGTTAGAGCCCCGCGAACCTTTGCCGCCGTTCGACTGCCAGCTGCCTCGAGGCGGGCCCAGATTGTGCGCCGCCAGCGGTCCCCTCTTCGGGTGACAGGATTCCCTGCAGCCGTCGCAGTACAGCACCTGAAACGACCCGGAGCCAATCAAATGCACCGTCGATTAGAGAAGAGCGTCGAATCGCCCTAGGTCACCGCGTACCACGCGATCGCAATGGCCGTTGCACACCTTGAAACGGTACAATCTTTTGATACTACTATTTATTAATTAATTGTATTCAACCAACGTACACCGTTGGATTTCTTCTACATCCGTAAATAAATAATTATTATTCATTTACGGCTGAGATACCCTTTGGTTTACTTACAGTCAATACGCAAGAAGTACTACATAGCTATTGGATGACATAGTGCAGAAGATCGCGTGTTTGAAAATATTTTGTAACAGCAAATGGCAGTTATAAGAATATAGTTTATACAATTTTGTTGCCCGTATAATGTCTGCCCTCCTCAGTTAAATTGTCCCAAATAGTCCAAAGACTGAAACTTCGAATTACCAAAATCATTTTTAAACAAGCGAAAACAAATAAATAGAATTACATTTGGAACTGTGTATAAGGTATATAGAATATCCTGGGAAGCGACAAATTAACACCATGCCGTCCGCAGATCTTAGATATGATTCTTTTGTTTGACGCCGGCATAATAGCTTGGAAATTTTAGATTTTTCAAAAAATGTCGAAGATGGCGGTAATATAAATTCCTAAAATTAAGATAAGTCATCCAAGAATTCTCGTACTTAATTCTTAGTTAAATAAGCAGTTTGCTGCCTTTCAACACCCAAGAAATATAGTTCAAACGTTATTTCAGTTTTTTAAAATGGCACCAAAGTGGTACCACCGGCATACAACAGACAGCTTTTGCATGGCACCAGCGTGGTGCCACCGGACGGCATAGCGTTAATATGTATAAGGCATTTAAACTAAGGACGGCAGCAGAGTTTGAAATAAATCCCGGCGAAAAGGGAAATATGTGCAGGGACCGACCTCGCACTGCTCGCAGGCGACGGTCGCGTCTCGCGGCTCGCCCTCGCACATCTGGCACTGCATCCTCGTGTTCCTGGACTCGTGGTACTTCTCGACGATCCGCTGCATCGCCCGGTATTTGGGCAGGTTGTGCGCGCCGCCCTCATCGAAGTAAACAGTCTTTTNTCCGGTAAAAAATAAAGAAAAGAATCGAAAACATTGGACATCGCGTGGAAATGAATCCGGGGAGGGAGCACAACACCCACGCGTCGAGACACGCGATATCGAGACCAGCTGTCGATCCGACCGACACCCTCTTCTTCCTACTCTCGGGGCGACCTCGACGGGACAGGGTCGTCGTTCCGCAGGGTTCGAGCTTGGAAATAGAAGCGTCGCCGATCGTGTCTCGCCTGAATGGGATCGACGGTGAAACCAGTTTGGTGGTCGAGGTCGCCGATCGATCGGCTCCCGGTAAAATCGAGCGAAAGAGGATCGTGGTGCCACGTACCTTCTGCGCCTTGCAAGCAGCGGCCAAGGGTAGCACGTCGTGGGAATGGGTCGCGTGTCGTTCCCGAAGACACAGGGCGCATATCGCGATCTTGCATAGAGCACAGTAGAGGGTCAGCGGCTCGCCGTTGTGATCGTTGCAAACCGGTGTCGGCTCGGCGTTAGAGCCCCGCGAACCTTTGCCGCCGTTCGACTGCCAGCTGCCTCGAGGCGGGCCCAGATTGTGCGCCGCCAGCGGTCCCCTCTTCGGGTGACAGGATTCCCTGCAGCCGTCGCAGTACAGCACCTGAAACGACCCGGAGCCAATCAAATGCACCGTCGATTAGAGAAGAGCGTCGAATCGCCCTAGGTCACCGCGTACCACGCGATCGCAATGGCCGTTGCACACCTTGAAACGGTACAATCTTTTGATACTACTATTTATTAATTAATTGTATTCAACCAACGTACACCGTTGGATTTCTTCTACATCCGTAAATAAATAATTATTATTCATTTACGGCTGAGATACCCTTTGGTTTACTTACAGTCAATACGCAAGAAGTACTACATAGCTATTGGATGACATAGTGCAGAAGATCGCGTGTTTGAAAATATTTTGTAACAGCAAATGGCAGTTATAAGAATATAGTTTATACAATTTTGTTGCCCGTATAATGTCTGCCCTCCTCAGTTAAATTGTCCCAAATAGTCCAAAGACTGAAACTTCGAATTACCAAAATCATTTTTAAACAAGCGAAAACAAATAAATAGAATTACATTTGGAACTGTGTATAAGGTATATAGAATATCCTGGGAAGCGACAAATTAACACCATGCCGTCCGCAGATCTTAGATATGATTCTTTTGTTTGACGCCGGCATAATAGCTTGGAAATTTTAGATTTTTCAAAAAATGTCGAAGATGGCGGTAATATAAATTCCTAAAATTAAGATAAGTCATCCAAGAATTCTCGTACTTAATTCTTAGTTAAATAAGCAGTTTGCTGCCTTTCAACACCCAAGAAATATAGTTCAAACGTTATTTCAGTTTTTTAAAATGGCACCAAAGTGGTACCACCGGCATACAACAGACAGCTTTTGCATGGCACCAGCGTGGTGCCACCGGACGGCATAGCGTTAATATGTATAAGGCATTTAAACTAAGGACGGCAGCAGAGTTTGAAATAAATCCCGGCGAAAAGGGAAATATGTGCAGGGACCGACCTCGCACTGCTCGCAGGCGACGGTCGCGTCTCGCGGCTCGCCCTCGCACATCTGGCACTGCATCCTCGTGTTCCTGGACTCGTGGTACTTCTCGACGATCCGCTGCATCGCCCGGTATTTGGGCAGGTTGTGCGCGCCGCCCTCATCGAAGTAAACAGTCTTTTGACAGACGGGACAGGAGAGGCATAGGGTGCCGCCCGACGGCGGGAATCCGCCGTTGCCCGGCGTGCCGACGTAGCTGCCGGGCCGGGAGCTGGTCGACGTGCTGCTGCAGACCACGCCGGAGTCCGTCTCCGATAGAATCGACAGCTTGTCGGCCTCCTGGTCGGAGCCGGGCGCGTTCGACGAGTCGGTGGTCGACTCCGGCGGTGAGTCCGGGGCTGCCTGCAAGTTCACCGCGCACGACAGACAAAGAGCGTGCCAGCACGGCAGCAGCACCGGCTCCACGAACAGCTCCTTGCAGCAAGGGCATCGCAGTTCGTCCTCCATTCTCCTCGAGAGATTCGGCCGCCACGCCGATTGCCACGCCGCTCACCGAGATCGAGAGCCACTCCTTCGCTCCGGCGCTCGATTCCGAGTCGATCCTACTCGATTCTATTCTAGGGAAATCTGTAGTTCAGCGACTTTGTCCTGAACACGCTTATTTTTCTCCGGTTTTCTTCTTTCGAACGGTTCGTTTTGTCGTCAACGAGAAATATTAGTCGCGGGTACATGCTTGGAAAAGTAATGTGCTTTGACAAAGGACAAGAAAGAAAACTGGAATATATAATATAATATATATATTATATAATGTATTATAGTACAATATAATATATATAATATAATATATTATATAATATATAAAAATAAATATGGAAAATATACGTCATAGAAAATGATATTATGAACTGTTTCCTCGAAGAAAAAAAATTGCCGGTCGACTCTAGTTTCCGAGATTGTTTGCAAAACACTGTTACTACTACGACGCTAATTTCGTTTATACGTGCATGACACGGGACAGCGTGTGTACGCGAGCCAGCGGCCGTCGCTCATCTTCTGTTCCGGTACATACGTCACGAAGGACCGACGGATACTAAATGCGCAACAGTTTTTCCCTAATATTTTGAAAATGAAGGCCGGCCGACCGGCCGACGCGTAGAATTCGCGAATGTCACGTTTTTTCTAAAAACGAGCTTTTCCAAGCCGATATATATTTCTGTTTAACGATGCAACAAGCTGAAAACCTTGACTGAATAAATCTCTGAATACGAGCATACAATATAATATAAATGGTGAAATGTCTAAATAAATTCAATCTTGTCATTGTTACAAGAATCTTCCAAATTTACCGTTCAGTAGGTTTAGCGTAAAAAAATGTAACCGGAGAAAGCTAGTCGCGTATAGAACGAAGTCACTAATCTGCATATCTGCCCAATTCTATTCGCCTCACCTTGTCTCGCCCAGTCTACTCTCTTCTCTTGCGTTCTTCGATCGACGAACGATTCGAAAACGAAAACCTATTCGGCGAACCAGTCGGATTGTCCGCGGACCGAACGAACCGACCCGCGATCGATCTCCCCTGCGTTCCTTTTCGCTAGCTGCTAGTCTCGACGACGCCGCGATGCCCACCTACGATCACAATTTCCCTCTCGTGTCCATCCTTTCCACGCGATGCCGACGACGATCTTCTACTACTCTCCGAACGTTCTAAGCCTGCCTTCGAACTTGGCTGCTCGAGAGGAACCCGGAACGCCTGGAACGCCCGTAAACTCCGTTGTGTTGTCGATGGCGTGCGGAATCGCTCGATTTCCTCGTCACGATATCCCGTCGTCGCGACGCATCCTCTTCGATCGAACGGTGCAACGTTCGTAAGCAGCTCCGATTTTCGTCTGGATCCGATCCGATTCGTGTCCTTTTTATCTGCCGTTACGACGCTCGACTCTCGATCCCATGTACATCGTCGCACTCCGGTCCCGTGAGAACCGAATCTACATTTTTTTGGCGATCGCGCGTCGCAAGGATACGCCGACGCGCGCTTCCTCGGCTTTCTCGTCGATTCACGCGGAAACGCGACGCGTCGCGGTGGTCGTTGTTCCGTGGTTCCGCGCGCCCGTGATTCTATCGAAGACGAAGCGCGTTCACCGGGTCGAGAAACTCACAATTTCGTTTCGATTGGTTCGCTGACGGTTGCGCCGGGAAGAGACGCCGCGAGAACGATGCGCGCAGGAAGCCGTCACCGGGTTGACTGACACCAGCCGCCGCGAGCAATTGCGCATCGTATTCCGCGCATTGTGGATCAGGGACGACGCTGTTCCCCGCCGGGCTCACGCGATAAACGCGGTCACTCGTTCATTCGATTCTTATGCTTGCAATGAGATCTCGCATCACCGAGGCACGCGTGCGATTGTTTCCGATGAGATAACTCGACGTTGGCTACGTTCGCGCGGAAATCGACGCGACGGGAACAACGTTCGAGCGAATTCGATGGAACACGTCCGGCTCTGTTACGGCCCTGTCGGAGAGACTTCTCCCTCTCTCCCTCTCGCTGGTTCCTTCGATACGTTTCTTTTGACAGGGAGGCGCCACATATCAGGAAGGAAGATACGATTTTATCGGGCAAGGGCAGAGAGACCAGGGCAGACACCGACAGAACGCCGCGTCATCCTTTTTCGGCTCATTGACCGAGAAGGTACGCGTGCAAGCAAAATTCTCCGTCGAAAACCGTATGCGACGAATATCTGGCTAGACCGAGTTAAAGGTAAGGTAACCGCCATGTTCGTAAAGACTATAATACGCATTGTATTCGATCGTTCGACCACTGGCTGGTTTCGTGTTACGTAACGCCAACACGTGGCCTAAACGCGTGATCGCAAACGATCTTCACGCAAATCCATGCAAATCTGCGGAACTTCAAAGGAACTGACATCGGGACGAATATTTGTGATTCTCGAAGGAACGATCAATCGGTCCAGGTCGATCCAGTTCCGGATCGAGCATCGAATGCACGCCACGAGATTTACTTGTGGGCGATGCTTAAGCTGTCGTCGACCTTTTGAAATCAGTAAAAGGAAACGCGCGACAACGATCGTTTTCAGACAAAATGTACTAGGTATGTATCGCACGATGACGGCTGGAACGTGCCGTCGTTGAACCGATGCCAACTTAAGTTTATTAATTTAATGCCGAGTCGTTGGACCGCGCGTACTTGCTTGCATGCACACGTGCGTGTTCGTGGTGCACATGCTTCGAGGTCAATTAAACGCTATCCCGTCGCAGTATTACAGCTTCGCTGGATGTCTCACCAAATGTCTTTGTACCTTTTCTAGAAACTCGACGACTCTAAATTTCAAGTGAACAATTGCAACATGAAGCCTATTGCGTATACTTCCCTGACGAAAAGGATCGTATCCCAACAATTCTCTCTCATGCGTCACTATGGTTCGCAACAACCCAGGTTAGCCGGTCATCGATCTCCCAAATGCTTTTTTATACATTGAAACCGAATAAAATCCGTTCATCTGTCGCGATCGCGATAAGATCGTGTCGATAATAGCGATCGCAATGATTTTAATCGAGCAATGTATATCAGTTCCACCAGCACAGATCCATGCGGCACGTTCGATTTGGTGGTCGTTGGGGGTGGCATTGTTGGTTGCGCCACTGCTCGAGAAATGATGATTAGACACCCGAATCTAAAGATGGCGATCGTCGAGAAGGAAAGTGCTTTGGCGAAACATCAAACAGGACATAATAGCGGCGTTGTACATGCCGGAATTTATTATGTACCCGGCAGCATGAAAGTAAAGAAACAAACGAAATGTTTTTCTTAGGACCGTTTTCTTTCTATCGCGTAGCGCATTATAAATAATAGTTACAACCATTAACTACGGGAAACGTTAAATCGGTTATTAGAGCAACGCTTCGTTAAGAGTTTATTGATCCGGCAGGAAATGATTGCAGGCTAAACTATGCGTGGAAGGATTGAAACTGTCCTACGAGTATTTCTGCAAGCACAATATACCGCACAACAAGGTTGGAAAATTGATTGTCGCACAGAACAAAGATCAGGTTAAAAGGATAGACGATCTGTTCGATCGCGGGACGAAGAACAACGTGCCGGATCTAGAAGTGGTCGAGAAAGATTGCATATCGAAATACGAGCCAAAATGTCGAGTACTGAAATTAATGTCGTTTCCTCGCAAGGAACAAACCTCTCCCGCTACACAATAAAACACAATAAAACGTGCATCTATATTGCCACAGGGAGAGAAAGCACTGTGGTCGCCCTGGACGGGTATAGTCGATTGGGCGGTTGTCTGTAAAAGTTTCGCCGACGAGTTTCAAAAGATGGGCGGTCAGATATTCCTAAATTACGAAGTGACCGGATTCGCGGAAATGTCAGAGTCGCATGGAAATCAAGAATTGGTTCCCATCTCGGTGCAATCTAAGAACAAAGTAAGCCTTTCTCACGTTTTCCCGCAACGCTCCCCACATAATTGCTACATTGTCCCTTGTTTTTTCATTACGATTGCAGTGTATTCCAGCAAAATACGTGCTGACTTGCGCCGGCTTGCACTCCGATCGTTTGGCCGTTATGACCGGATGCGATCTAAGCCCAAGAATCGTTCCATTTCGCGGCGAGTATCTATTGCTAAGCGAGAAGAAGAAACACCTGTGCACGACCAATATATACCCCGTACCGGATCCCCGATTCCCTTTCTTAGGCGTCCATTTTACACCCAGGGTGAACGGCGACATATGGCTTGGTCCAAACGCGGTTCTGGCGTTCGCAAGAGAGGGTTATCGGTATGCCCGATACTATCCCTAATCGACGTTGTAGTTTACCTTGCAAACGATTACCATTTACCATTTTCAGATGGCGGGATATAAACATAAAGGATTGCATAGAGATGGCCAAATTTCCGGGATTATATAAACTGTGTTTCAAGTATTTCATTCCCGGGTGCAAAGAGATGATTAAATCCATATTTTATCCACTCGCGGTGAGAGATTTAAAGAAATTCATTCCTGAAGTAACTTACACAGATGTGAGAAGGTAGGTGCAACAACAGTTGGCAGAATAGCTATTAACGATTTCGTCATCTTTATCATCATCATTTGCGTCGTTTATCGAGCAGGGGACCGGCAGGTGTTCGGGCACAAGCGTTAGACAATAATGGAAAATTGGTGGATGATTTTGTTTTTGACAGTGGTAAAGGTAGTATCGGTAGCAGAGTGATGCACTGTCGAAATGCACCTTCTCCAGCCGCGACAAGTTCCATGGCAATCGCAAAACACATTGCCGACAAACTAGAAGCCGAGTTCAAGCTTTAAGTATAACAAAATGACGATCAATGAAAAATAGCCGTGAGATATTAAATTTTCTACTCGTATATAGTTTTGATACGAAGATAGATTGGTTTATTACTTGTTAATAATATTAATTGTATGTCTGAATACACATACATCCCTGTGTCTTCTATTTTTTCTCTTTCTCTCTCTCGCTGTCTTCCGCTTCATTTGCATGTATTTGCATTCGAAACAAACTCGTTCGTTCTTTGTACTTTTAGATAGAAAGAGCTGAATGAAAAGAGAATCCAAGAATACGAGTATAATGCGTCGATATAATCGTATCTCCGTGATATGTAATCGTAACCTGTAACATCATACATAGTATGGTACTAAATTATCCTAAATCCTGATCCCGATATCATGAGGCGCGAATTTGCAAAATCCCAAGCGGCGGTCGAATGGAATCCCATATTGGACAGAACAACTCCGTATTCGCTTATCGCAAACATTGAGTAGACTAAAACGAAATAATCGGTTTGTTAATTGTTTGTTTCGTTCATTCTTATCTTCGTTGCTTTTAACTCACCTAGAGGTTCACAGTATTTGTTATGCCTGTAGAAAAAGTAACACGCGCTCAGTATAAAAAACACGTTCAATACCATGGCTCTCCATTTCCATTTCATAGAGGTGGTCTCCGACCATTCCCTTGTAACATTACGACAATTTGTCATGATAAAATATGCAACAATCATGTGAATAAAAGACATTATCAAAAATGTTACAAAAGATAATTTGTGGAAGGCTGCAACAAAAACGTGTAATTTTCAGATAACCTATTGCAACACATATATGCATATGTAAACATATATGCAATATTCTATATATATGTACCATAATTTTCATCGGACGTCCAAAAGCTTAAAGTAACAAGAGATATGTTTTCAACGGCATTCGTAACAATAGCAATGTTACATATACTTTGTGCCCATTTATAAATATGTTCTTTATAGTAACGATAATACATAATTAATACTAAAACCCTGATGGATGCTTGCACAGCAATCGCAAGCTTCCATACATCTCTTTGAGGTCTGTAATGTCCGATCGCAGCAGATACGGATGGCAAAAAATTATATACCTGTTATAAAGAAAAAAAAAAGGATTGCTTACATACATGCATGCGTACGGGTTCATTGATCCTTATGTAAATGAAGCAACCATAAAAAAAAAAGAACAGTAGAATATGGAACGTACCTTGCAGTGCGTCGAGGTAGAGTGCTCAAAATTGTACATAATGGACCAAATGACGCAAAATATAAATGCTAGGAACGGCAATAAAACGGTAAACCATGTTACCTTAGAGAACGGCAAAATCACTCGTGCCTTTGACATGTCCTCTTCCACTAGTGGAATATATTCTGACCCCACTCTTGCTTTGCTCATCGTTTTATAATCGTTGATCTTATTTACGTCATAAGAAGCAAAGTTTGATACCCTTAATAGGCTAAAGTGCTACAGTATGAAACGCTTTATTGGTAAGCGTACGGGGTGCGACGATTTTCCTTTGATTCTTTTGCTCGTCACCGCGTACAGAGAACCGTATCTGGTCGAACAAACATCGTCGAACCCGACGAAGCAATAGTTGCACGAATTAAATCCACTACAACTTTCGAATAATAACATTTTACAGCGAAGTTATCAAAAGACTCTAGTTACCATCTTAAACACAAAATCGATCGTTCTGGTCACACCAGTCGCACTGCTGAATTTTGCAACCGTGCAGTGACATCGTACGGTGAGAAAAGTATGAACTTCCATACGGTCGGCGACCATGTTCGCGTTGACATAACCTAGAGTGCGCCAGTCGTCCGCCATCAGCTGTTCCGTTGTTTCTATATTTGTCGCGTCGAAAGCGATCTCGTGTTTTGCCATGGCAATTTTGTGACAAGAGTGCAATTTTACGCCCGTATCGAGATATTATTGCCGTAGCCGTCTGATAGTTGCAAAAAAAACACGCGTTGTCGACGTAATTGCAGTTGTCGTTGTAAATACATCTGACACAGCGCCAAAATTGTGCGGTCGATGGAATTTGAGTCGGTTCCTGGGCCTGAATAGGTTAAGTTCGAAATTGCAGCAGCATAGGAGCGTACGTTTCCTGGCAACAAGAACAACAAGTATCTTTCAACGATCGTTCAAACATGTAAGTAAAATTTTGATACTGTACTCGCATGTTCCGCGATATAGACTTACGTGCGTGCAACGTCGAGACCGAGCATTGTTGAGAACAACGATCGTGGTTCTGTCGAAATCGATTGAAATTGTCGGGAATCTTGGCAGGCGTTTATCTCGATCGTGGTTGCACAGTCGCGCACGCGACATTTCTACGTCGTAAAACCGGCCGGCCCGTAAAGTAAACGTGTTTTGGTTCCGATGACAATGAGATTGATTTACGACGGAATTAAGACTCGAAAGCATGGTCAGATCGATCAAAGAAATTTTGCAACCGAAGAAAAGTAACAAAAAAGACGAATTAGCGGGAGAACGACGACACTGGCGCTCCGCCGTCACGACTACTGCGAGTCGCACACGCTACTGCCCACGCCATTCGCACCGGAACCCGTCGGATCGCGTCGCGGCGAGTTTTCCAAGTCCGATCGTAAATCACATTATCCCGGTCATTATCCCGGAAACCGCAACACAATTCTATACAATAGCCCGGCCAATTTTACATTACTTGCGTGTGTATCAGTGTTGACGTTTACGTTGACGTTGACGCTTGGACACATTTGTTATGACATTATTCGATGTACTATTTCAAATAACATGTTACTTTATTTCGTAGTTATTCTCATGCCTGTGATCCCTTCTGACGTAACATTATTTGAAATATTATTTCACGTAACGCGTTATTTTGTTATCTAATTATTCGAAATAACTATGAAGTTAACGTTAACGTGTAGGGCTGGTTTACACCTTTCCGCCCTAACCAAGTTACTGCGAAGATTTCATCAGGTAAAATCGTTTGGTTCCTTATCGCTCACAGCATTATTTCTTTTGGCTAATTTGAAGTAAGGAACAAACGAAATAATGCGTCATTTGCAATCGCTTTCTCTCCAACGATATTATATTTATTTTCAAATAACGGTCTGAACGTTATCTCTCTCATTTTTATTTCAAATAGTTCAGATCCGAACGTAGCCGCGTTAGCACCGTGAAACGTAAACTAAGCCCCTACGGCCGGCAACCGTTGAGACAGCTGCACGTGCCCCTTGCGCGACAACCGTGCTCGCGCCGTTACGAGCGGGAAATGTCGTAACCGTTTCCTTCGGCTCCTCCGTTAGTCCGAAGCGTAAAGTTTACACTGTTGGGTGGAAACTGGACGGCGATTTCGCGATCGTGGAAAACATAGGAGGTTCCTGCGATCTCGAATGAAGAACGCACAGACATCGCGGACCGTTTAAACTTAAACGAAGCACGGCAGGCAAAGGTAAATATCTCTCCGCGGAGCTATCGGGAACATAACAAACAGCGGGGGGTGGTATATATCGAAAAAATTGATTGTTTCGGTAGCCGCTGGCCCACGGCGTCGGTCTCTCGCGGCAAACGGAAACATCTATATTTGCTCTGGCAAGCGGAGCCTATCGACTTCACGCTCGAACGAAACCGCGTGTATTTAGCGTATTTGTATTTGTATTGCCGTCGCGCTCGTCGCTTGTCGCCGCCGAGAGTTCTATTCGTGTCAAACGATTTTCTAGCACCCGAGACGTCGTCGTCGTCGTCGTCGTCGCCACCACCAGAGAAACTGGGGGATCCTCTCGACCGCGTTACGATCCCCGGTATCGAGCAATTTGGCATTCGACGCGTCCTTCTTCCGTGGGAAATACTTTGGCACCGATTCACGGCACTTATTGCGCGACACTCGATCGTTCTTACGGTCTTTTCCGGCCGCTGATTTCGTTTTCGGGATCGAGCCTCGACCGCGCGTGTCCCGTATCCGGCCGCGGGGGTGGTTATTCGGGGGTGGATTCGCGTTCGTGTCGGTTACAAGCGACGAGATACGCCAAGCTGCGAGCGGGGTAACGCGTAAAAGTGGCGCGAGGGTCAAGGGACAAGAGACGCGGGACGAGGTTAGGGTCAAGGGTGCAGGGGAGGAAAGGGGTTGCGCGGGACGCGTGTGTTACGCGCGCTCGTTACGGACGTGTGCGGTACACAGAAATATAGGAACGTATGCAGGAAAGACGGAGATATAGGAATACAGTGATATAGGAAGAGACGAGGGCGACGAGGAGGAGGCGCAGGCGCGAAATCGGACGCGGTGAACGCTCGACGGCCGACGCGCCGCGCCGAGCGGAGCCGCGCGATGGCCCGACGTCCGCGTGGCGCGCGAGTTAGAAGTCGGCCTCGGTCTTTTAGTGTCGGCCCGTTCCTTCGCACGGTCTCGTTGTAGCTTGCAACCGCTCGCCGGTAGATTCGTATCCAGGAAAGTTCCTCTTCGCAATTTTCTTTCGGAAGCAACGATCGCTCTTCCAGCGGTCTTCTTCTTCTTCGCTCTCTTCGGCATCGTTTCGCCGGCAGAGCGCGGCGACGGTCCGAAATGAACGCGAGGTTCGCGACGCAGCGATTTCACGGCGGTACCCGCGAATTCCCGGCTTCGAGCGGCTCCGGCTGCCTCGGCGTTTGCTGATGAACCGATGAGACACCCCGTATCGAATCGAGTCGCTCCGTGAGAGCGGGGGTTGAAAGAATCGGTCGTCGCGTAGACGAAAGATCGAGACGTGGAGAGAAGGCATGGGGGACGAAGGATTCGGGGAGAAGGAGCCACGGAAGAGGAGCACCGCGCAAAGCCGATGGCGCATTCTCGCGAAGACGCTGATCGGCCCGCGGGCGAACGAGAGGTTCGCGGAGCCGGAGAACGATCTGAACGACGTGTCCGTTCGCCGTTTCACCAGCTTCGGCCTGCTGAAGACCGTCCGGCTGGAGAACGCCGGGTCGAAGGAGGAGGAGCCGGGCACGAGGTGGTACGAGTACTCCGGCATTTTGGAGAACCGGAAGTTCACCGTGCAGATCCGCTGGCTGAAGAACAACAGCTTCACGGCGAACGAGCTGATCGGCTTCAACAACACCGGGAACGTGTGCGTCTGGCCTTCGGAGGAGTGTCTGGCTTACTATCTGCTGAAGAACCGCGATATCTGCCGGAACAAAAGGGTTCTCGAGCTCGGGGGTGGCATGAGCTGCCTGGCGGGCGTGATCGCGGCCAAATATTGCGATCCGAGCGGCGTCGCGCTCACCGATGGCAACGCGACCAGCGTGGAGAACGTCCGGCGCATCGTCGCCAGGAACGAGATGGCCGATCTCGTCGAGTGCTGCGTCGTCCGATGGTCCAAGGCGGCCAGGGCGATCAGGACTGCGAGATCGGCGAAATCGTTTCCGTACGGCAACCACATCGGCCTCCGAATCAAGGTGATTTTCCGAGATCGTTGTCTTTTGAAAGTCGCGTCGATTTCTCTGTCGGTTTCTTCCTATACATTCGGTCGTGTTTCGTTTTTGTTGGCGGGAAAAGGATCGCGGATCACGGATCTCTCTCTCTCTCTCTTTCTATTCGAGTTTCTGAATTGACTTTCCTACGTAGAACTGGACGGCCGGAGACGACGACTCGCCGATCGCCCCGGAGAAATCGTACGACGTGATCCTGTGCGCGGACTGCCTGTTCTTCGACGAGGTGCGCTCCGATCTGGTGGAAACGATCTACGGCTGGCTGGCGAACGACGGCATGGCCCTGGTGATGGCGCCCCGACGGGGCCAGACCTTCGAGAGGTTCGCGGATGCGGCCACCAAACGGGGCTTCACGGCCAGACGGATTGATCGCTACGACCACAGGATTTGGTCGAGACATCTGGAGCTGTTGGACCACAGCCAGGAGTATTGTCCGGACCTCCATTATCCGATCCTTTTGGAACTGACCAAGCAGAAGAGGATGCCGTCCGGATGACCATCGATAACGACCAACCGAACGAATCCTTTGTCTCCGAGCGTCGCCGTGCGAACGCCGGGGCGAAACGTCGTCCGCGTTATCCTACTTCTCGTAGAACCGAGTTCTCGATAATCCTCTAGCCACGTTTCTACGTTTCTATCGTAGACGTTCCGCGACGGCGCCGCAACGGGCCGAAGCGACGAGGTCGTGTCGAAATTAAAAAGGACAAAACTTTTGATAGTAATGAGATACGAAGCGACTGATCGTTTGTTACGTTCAAGCTGAACAGAGAGAACGCATCGTGTTGCGAAAGTAATCTCGATTTTCTTGCGAGTTATTATTTATTTGGAAGATTACTTTCACGACAACTCGATGGTCCGAATATCTTTTTAACATTGACAACTTCTGTAGAAATGTTCCGACAAAATTGTGACTTATTCGACGCGCCGATTTCGAATCCGATCGCAAGATTTATCCAGTACAGTAATGTCTCCCCGACTGACGCTCGGATTGTACACAAAAATGGACAATTTGGGAACAAGAGATAAGATTATTCGAGGCTTGTAGCTCGTTTTTTATAGTTGTTGACACAATTTGTAACTATAAAAGCGAACCGCAAGACTCGAACAANATCACGGATCTCTCTCTCTCTCTCTTTCTATTCGAGTTTCTGAATTGACTTTCCTACGTAGAACTGGACGGCCGGAGACGACGACTCGCCGATCGCCCCGGAGAAATCGTACGACGTGATCCTGTGCGCGGACTGCCTGTTCTTCGACGAGGTGCGCTCCGATCTGGTGGAAACGATCTACGGCTGGCTGGCGAACGACGGCATGGCCCTGGTGATGGCGCCCCGACGGGGCCAGACCTTCGAGAGGTTCGCGGATGCGGCCACCAAACGGGGCTTCACGGCCAGACGGATTGATCGCTACGACCACAGGATTTGGTCGAGACATCTGGAGCTGTTGGACCACAGCCAGGAGTATTGTCCGGACCTCCATTATCCGATCCTTTTGGAACTGACCAAGCAGAAGAGGATGCCGTCCGGATGACCATCGATAACGACCAACCGAACGAATCCTTTGTCTCCGAGCGTCGCCGTGCGAACGCCGGGGCGAAACGTCGTCCGCGTTATCCTACTTCTCGTAGAACCGAGTTCTCGATAATCCTCTAGCCACGTTTCTACGTTTCTATCGTAGACGTTCCGCGACGGCGCCGCAACGGGCCGAAGCGACGAGGTCGTGTCGAAATTAAAAAGGACAAAACTTTTGATAGTAATGAGATACGAAGCGACTGATCGTTTGTTACGTTCAAGCTGAACAGAGAGAACGCATCGTGTTGCGAAAGTAATCTCGATTTTCTTGCGAGTTATTATTTATTTGGAAGATTACTTTCACGACAACTCGATGGTCCGAATATCTTTTTAACATTGACAACTTCTGTAGAAATGTTCCGACAAAATTGTGACTTATTCGACGCGCCGATTTCGAATCCGATCGCAAGATTTATCCAGTACAGTAATGTCTCCCCGACTGACGCTCGGATTGTACACAAAAATGGACAATTTGGGAACAAGAGATAAGATTATTCGAGGCTTGTAGCTCGTTTTTTATAGTTGTTGACACAATTTGTAACTATAAAAGCGAACCGCAAGACTCGAACAATCGTATCTCCTCTTCCCAAATTGTCCATTTTTGTGGACAATCCGAGCTTCGATTAGGCAGACATTACTGTGGTTCGGAATTTTGAAGAAAAAGAGAAAATAGGTTATTTTTTAGAAGAACATTTCTTTGAGGAAAGCAACGAGATCGCGACGTTTCCTCGTTCAAAATGATTTCAGAAACCGATGGTCGATTCTACGATTTCGACGCAGCCTAGTCACTTTTTCCCGCACCGCGCGCCGTTCCAAAGAAAACCGTAAAATCCGTGAAACGATAGTACGTATCGAGAGAGAGTACCTGATTTTTCGACCGATAGCAACTAGGCGTAGAGAAATATTCGCGTTCGTTCGCGTCCGCGTGGTATGGATTACCATCGTCGCGACTGCCAATCAAGTCCATCCACGACGCTGCACGTACATACATACACACACATGCATATATACATATATACATAGATGCATACATTACGTTACGGCGCGTCCTTAATCTCCCGACGCCGATGATCCCACGCGTCGTCGAGGATAGCATCGAGTGCGACGATAGTCGTGGTAACGAGACGGTGCAGCGCACCAAAACCGGCGAAGATTAACGCGAATCCCTATATCTTTTTAGGCGGTGTTACGAGCCGATCAGCCCGCGAAGTTTGTACGAAACCTGCGCGAGGCTTGCCCGGTCCGCAAATCCGATGTAAACCCGGGACGCCGCCGATCGTTGCAATTATCAGCCCTAATTCAATTTGCGTGTTTACGGCATGTGTACGATCATTCCGTGCCGGTACGACGGGTCGCGACGACGCGCGGCTATAATCCGATAAACAGAGACGGAGACACCGTCGTTTCGCGTTCGTTTCGAGCGTTCTCCGCGCTCGCGTCGAGTCCCCCCCTGCCTACCGTTCCCGTCGGTTCTTAGATTCCAAGAGTGTGTTCGCCTTCTACAGTAACGTCTACCCTTACTGACGCTCAGATTGTCCACTAAAGTGGATAATTTGGGAAAAGGAGACACGATTATTCGATAGCCTTGCGGCTCGTTTTTATAATTGTAGACAATTTATAACTGTAAAAATGAACCGCAAGGCTCGAACAATCGTATCTCCTCTTCCCATATTGTCCATTTTTGTGCGCAATCTGGGCGTCGATTAGAGAGACATTACTGTACAATAAGTACAGAAGGACTATCTAGTCGACTTCGTAGTTCCTAGGAGCGGACAGCCTTCCGCGGTTGAAGCTGCTTTCCACAAATTCTCTGTGCAACACGTTCCGCGTCCGCTCCGTTCGATTGCCATAGAGCGTAATATAATAAGATCGACCGTGTAACGCGTAGATTTTAAGAGAAACAGTCGTGGGTCCAAGCCGTGCCGCTGAAACATCGATACCATAAGATTTTTTTTTAAGCGTGTAAACGAAGAAAACGAGAGTGAGAGAGAGAGGGTGGGAGAGAGAATGTGAAACGCTTATCCTAACGATTTAGGACCAATTTAGTCGAGTCTAGTCTAGTCGGTGCTACCGCATCTCCATTGTTCTGTACCTCTATTCGTGTTCTCTGGGAACGTGTGTAAGCAAAGTTACAATAAAGCGAGCATATTTTCTTGAACCCGTGTCTCGAACGAGAGAGATCGTTGATTCGGAGAATCGATCGATCCGCGACGACGACGGCCACAGAGCCGCGACCCACGAAACCTCGATTCCGCGTCTACCTGCAGTTATCGCCGACAAAAGAGAAACCCGGCCGGTTTTGTCCTATAGAAGTGTATTATTAGTACGCGACACACAGATGTTTACCGACCTTCCCCTATGTAGAAACGCAATGCAGTCATGTAACAGTCTGCTCATCGATTCAGAGGACGACATGGTTGCTCTATTATTAAACCGCGCCGCTAGAAATCACTGGAGCCGCGTGAATCACAATTCCATTTACTACCCCCCCGTTCTGTTCTATATACACCCCGTTTGCTCCATTTACCCCTATTTGTCCCGCCGATCTGTCCGGTTTGTTTCATCCCTTGTTACGGTTTCCACTCGCGCAAAAATCCTGAAATCAAGACGTCTCTCTCTCTCTCTCTCCCTCCCTCCCTCCCTCTCCCCCGTCTCTCTCGCCGCAAACCCCAGCTTCGAACGATCCGGTACAACGTTTGAGGGTCTTCGCGGCTGGTAAACGACGCTCGGCGTCCGCGATCCGAACGAATCTGGAGAAAAATCGTGCTCGGCTCCGACGGACAGAGAGCTCCTGTCTTCGGGCGGATCGCGCCGCGAAGCGGTTTTCGAACGCCGAAAGGTGTTTACAGCCCTCCATGGTAAAATTAGAACGCTCGTACCCGCTTCCTTTTTTCCCCGGCGCGGCGGCGAGGAAACGTAAAACGAGACGATCGAGCTGTACGTCGAACGACGGAAGAGCGGCGCGAGGGGGAGAGGAGCCGAACGAACGATCGACTGCAGACTCTGCGATCGTGGAACAAGGAAATAATCGGAGCAGCGGGAAGTTTTTTACGAAATTCCGTTCCCGCGTGTCGGATCGGATCGCGCTAAATCATCGTGAATAGACGGTCGGACACGGAAACTCGAGGGTGTAAATCGCGGATAAACATTTACGCGATCAAGCGAACGAGCCGAAGCCCGTGTGCCGTTTAAACGTCGGTTACTCGCCAAGTCAAACAACGGGCCGGCGGGACACGGATCGACCCGTAATCCCGTAATTCGCGGCCGAGAAACGACGGCTTGACCGAAACAAGAGCGAGATTATTTATTGTTTCCGAAAGCGTTTGCGCGCGCGGTACAATCGGAGTAGACGGTAAAAATAGCTGGCTATTTGTTTGGGGATTTCGACGGCGCTCTCTGTTATGCCCTGTACAGGATAATTCGATCCGTTAACGACGACGACGACGACGACGATGAAATTAGACGTATGTCGCAGCCGGTGTTATCAAATCTGAACCGAGGCTTCGAAAACTGATGCAGGAACCACGTAGACGTTCTTTCCCTGTCAATTTCAACCCTTCGCACTCGAGTGGTGAAACTGAGATGTCGCTAAAATTGTTACACCACGTTCAAAGATAATTTTTACATCGTCAAAGCTTAGATATAAAAGATCGTTAAAAGTCTAACTTTGTTGTACGAGTCGCAAGACTCAATTTCACACGCATGAAATGGACTTTATCATATAAAATGGAAATACCATAAATCAAAAAAGTTAGTCTAGATTTACAATTGAAATGGCTTCGAGTGTGAAGAGTTAATAATCTGGCATTAACGCAACGGCGCGTTGAAATGAATTCAAACGTTCTCGCTATCTTGCATTCGATCTAAGTTTATTCTCGTCGTAAATGCACAAAATCCGCAGTCGATAAATACCGATTACTCAGCAATCCCTCGCGTCAACAAGAACAAGATTTCGTTATTGTAAAATTCGATGTCCGGCCGGATATCTAAATAAATAATCAGGATTATTCCGCGGGTGCCAATTACATACGTTTGGCCGGCGGCTCCAAGGTCGTCGCGAAGACGTCTCCGCGGCGCGACGACACGCGACGATTTCGCAAGCGGCTAAGAGAACGAAGAAGATCGGATCGACCTCGACGATCTCGTCGAAGGGGATCCTCCGACGAAGATGCGCTCGTCAACGTTCGCTGACACCGCCTGGCATCCGCACAGATAGCCGTGACAACGGCGACTCGCCGTATTGGATGCACGCGCGTATCACGGTCCAGCTTGGCACGTGCCAAAAAGCCCGCTCGAAAATATACGCGGACGTCGATGGACGGCCCATGAGATCGCGTCAGCGCGTGCAGCTTTGGATTACAGGATTTTGCGAAATTCAGAATGGACCCCCGAAGAATCGCGCGGGGTCCATTCTATGGATCCATACGCTTCCCTATTACGCCGGGCGACGGGGTTGTTCGCGCGTGTACGCGAAACTCGCTCGAACGACTCGGCTCGTTTACGTAAAGTGCACACGCGATCCAACGAGGAGGTGGAGGCCGGTCGATGCGTATTTACGATGCGTATTTACGATACGAATGCACCTCTAATCGGCTGCAAGCTAGGCAGCTCTCCCTCCCGTCTATCTATAGAACGGTGTCGCTATTAATACAGCCGCTATTATTAATAGAGACTGCAGCGTTGTTGGGACAGTTGTGATTTCCTCGATGCGCGATTCACCGTCCACCGTCGGAATCTTAAAGTTCGAACGATCGATTCGGGTAATTAGCGAGCCGCCGGAAAGATGGTCTCTCGATAACGCCGGCCACTCTTGCCTCGATGCAGCCCCTGCAGCCGGCAACCCCCTCCATCCTCGACGACACCTCTCCAACCAAGAGATAGATAGATAGATAGAGAGAGAGAGAGAGAGAGAGAGAGCGAGAGAGCCAGTGTCGTTGCCAGGAAAACAGAGATTCTGCTTTCTNCGACGATGAAATTAGACGTATGTCGCAGCCGGTGTTATCAAATCTGAACCGAGGCTTCGAAAACTGATGCAGGAACCACGTAGACGTTCTTTCCCTGTCAATTTCAACCCTTCGCACTCGAGTGGTGAAACTGAGATGTCGCTAAAATTGTTACACCACGTTCAAAGATAATTTTTACATCGTCAAAGCTTAGATATAAAAGATCGTTAAAAGTCTAACTTTGTTGTACGAGTCGCAAGACTCAATTTCACACGCATGAAATGGACTTTATCATATAAAATGGAAATACCATAAATCAAAAAAGTTAGTCTAGATTTACAATTGAAATGGCTTCGAGTGTGAAGAGTTAATAATCTGGCATTAACGCAACGGCGCGTTGAAATGAATTCAAACGTTCTCGCTATCTTGCATTCGATCTAAGTTTATTCTCGTCGTAAATGCACAAAATCCGCAGTCGATAAATACCGATTACTCAGCAATCCCTCGCGTCAACAAGAACAAGATTTCGTTATTGTAAAATTCGATGTCCGGCCGGATATCTAAATAAATAATCAGGATTATTCCGCGGGTGCCAATTACATACGTTTGGCCGGCGGCTCCAAGGTCGTCGCGAAGACGTCTCCGCGGCGCGACGACACGCGACGATTTCGCAAGCGGCTAAGAGAACGAAGAAGATCGGATCGACCTCGACGATCTCGTCGAAGGGGATCCTCCGACGAAGATGCGCTCGTCAACGTTCGCTGACACCGCCTGGCATCCGCACAGATAGCCGTGACAACGGCGACTCGCCGTATTGGATGCACGCGCGTATCACGGTCCAGCTTGGCACGTGCCAAAAAGCCCGCTCGAAAATATACGCGGACGTCGATGGACGGCCCATGAGATCGCGTCAGCGCGTGCAGCTTTGGATTACAGGATTTTGCGAAATTCAGAATGGACCCCCGAAGAATCGCGCGGGGTCCATTCTATGGATCCATACGCTTCCCTATTACGCCGGGCGACGGGGTTGTTCGCGCGTGTACGCGAAACTCGCTCGAACGACTCGGCTCGTTTACGTAAAGTGCACACGCGATCCAACGAGGAGGTGGAGGCCGGTCGATGCGTATTTACGATGCGTATTTACGATACGAATGCACCTCTAATCGGCTGCAAGCTAGGCAGCTCTCCCTCCCGTCTATCTATAGAACGGTGTCGCTATTAATACAGCCGCTATTATTAATAGAGACTGCAGCGTTGTTGGGACAGTTGTGATTTCCTCGATGCGCGATTCACCGTCCACCGTCGGAATCTTAAAGTTCGAACGATCGATTCGGGTAATTAGCGAGCCGCCGGAAAGATGGTCTCTCGATAACGCCGGCCACTCTTGCCTCGATGCAGCCCCTGCAGCCGGCAACCCCCTCCATCCTCGACGACACCTCTCCAACCAAGAGATAGATAGATAGATAGAGAGAGAGAGAGAGAGAGAGAGAGCGAGAGAGCCAGTGTCGTTGCCAGGAAAACAGAGATTCTGCTTTCTCTATTCTAGAACGAAAAGAAAGGAAAGCGAGCCACACGGCGCTCTTCGAGGTCGAGGGTTTCTCAGGGTCGCCGAGACGCTGGCTAATTACCCGTTAATTCGTCGGCGACGCGAGGGCAAAGTGTCCCCGTTACGATAATCGCCGCGCGGAAACCAAGCTCGCTCTCTCTTCTCAAATGTGTAACGTGATTCTCCTCTTTCTCTGTTGCAGGGCGGACTACTGGAAGTCGCAGGGCAGAAAATTCTGCGATTTCTGCAAGTGTTGGATCGCCGACAACAAGCCTAGCATCGATTTCCATGAGGGTGGAAAGAAGCACAAAGACAATGTCAGCAAACGGCTCAAAGAGATACATAAGAACAGCGCGAAGCAGGCGAAGCAAAACAAGAAGATGGAGGACGACATCAGGAAGATGGAGAGCGTAAGTTCGGTTCCGACGGGTTTTTCTTTTTTTAAAAATAAAAGCATAAGATTTCTACGGTTTTAACGGTTCAGGCAGCCATGGCCGCGTACCTGAAGGACGTCGAGAACAACACCAGGGATATGACCGCCGATAGGATCATCGAAGAGAAGAGGAATAGAAGCGACGTGAGTATAAGCAATAACAGTGCGACAACGATGAAGCTTTTGGATCGGTCGATGCATTCTCGATTGTTTCAGACACCGAGCGGAAATCGTGCGACGACGATCCCGGGAACAACGTCTGGTGTCAAATGCAAAACTCAACAGGTAGGAAAGATCGCGGCGCTCTCGCGAACGTTTCTCGCCGGAAGACACGTTCACGGTCCGAATCTGTTTCAGTTTCTTCACGAGATCGACCCGTGCGACCCGACCCTCTCGCGAACCAGCAGACAGTACCAACAGCAGCCCAGAGTTCCGGCAAAACCGGAAAACAAGGCCCAAGGAAAGAGCAAAGCTAACAAAGGGAAGGGCAAGGGGAGGAAAGCCCAGGAAGAGGATCGTTCTGCGAAACCGGTGCGTAAGCTCTGGTACGAGGCGCGCAGTCCAGAAGGGTACACGTACTACTGGCACATCGAAACGAACGGTGTGTATGCACTTAGAACCCTGCCGGCTCGACGAGTCGCCACGCTCTCGACGCGTTATTCTTTGAAGTCGTGTTCTGACCGTAGAGACCGCGTGGGATCCGCCCGAGGAGGGTTACATGACGTTCGCCGAGCAAGAGGAGGAAGCTAGAGAACAGGCGCTTCAGGAGGAGCTCCTGGAACAGCTGAAGCAGGAAGAAGAGATCGCGAACAAGGAGATCCTCGAGGAGAAGCGAGCGAACGCGGAGCGAGAACGATCGAGGCAGCTGAGGAAGTCGAGGTCGGAGAGCAACCGACTGGACGAGACAACGGATACGGCGAGCGCGACGAGGGACGGGCAGAAGACTCGAGAGGAGAAGCGTGAGGAAGAGCAGCGACCTTACAGAAGGGATTACAGCGGGTCGTGCCAAAAGTCGCATCCTTATGGAGCATGGCAGACGGTCAGGGTCGTGTAAGTACGAAGGATAGCGATAGGATAGATCTCCTTTGTTTTATTGGCAGTCTCACGACGAATCCTCGTTTGCGCGTCGTCTGCGTTTCAGCGAGACGAAGCCAGTGGACTTGCAGCTGCCACGACTGCCCCAGAAGACGACCGCGCCGGTGGCGGCCTTCGACAAGGCGGAACCACCGCCCCCGCAGAGGACGTTCAAAGAGAAAACGGTGACGCGTGTCGACACGGGCGACAGCGACGGGGACTACGAACCGACCGCGTTCAAGAAACGGAAGATCGGCAACAAAAATGTACGAAAACGATTAAACGATGACTGATGATTACTTCGATGCTGATCCCCTTTTCTTTTTTATCGTCGCGAGATAACGGCCCCGCGAGTGTTTCTATCGTTCAATCGTCGCGCTCGCGTTTATCTACTGTATATGTACAAATTAAAGAACGTCCATGATTGAAGTTCGATTCGCGAACGAGGAATCTAGGACGACCGTATCGACGGTATCGATTCTAATCGAGCGCGATCGATCGCGTAAACAGACAGGCGGATGAATCCGGTTCGTTACACCTGTTCCGGCATCGGTATATTCTTCTGGACGCTCCCTTTGGACGAGACGCGTCCCTTGACGTCGAACTCGCGGGACGCTCGTCCGTTGAGCTTGTCCAAGATTATGCGAAGCGGCAGTCCCTTCGTTTCCGGGATCAAAACGAAAATGAACGCGAACAGAAAGATGCATATGGTGCCCAACAGGAAGAAGCATCCGTGCATGCCCAGCAGGTCGACGACGCTCGAGAAGAATTTGAGCACGAGGAACGCGGTGGTCCAAACGGTGAACAGACCCAGCGTCATGATCGGGGCGTACACGTCCCGGCTGAGAATCTCGGCGGAAACGACGTAGGGGCCCGGGCCGAAGCCCAAGTTGTATACGATCACATAGACGGACAGGGCCACGATCGGGATCCAATTGACAGCGTTGACGTCGTATCGAAGCATCTGCGCGTAGCAAAACAGCCCGAGCGTGTAGTGACAGAGGCACATTCCTCCGCTCGATATCAGCAGCAACGGCCTCCTGCCAAGTCTTTCCATCAGCGAGGTGGACAGGAACGAGCCAACCAGTTGTATGACACCGACGATGATCGCCGATGCGTTGGGCGACAACGAGCTTCCAGATATTCCGAATATCGTTTCCGTGTAGCTTATCTGCGAACGAGAAACGTGTATACAGGATGGTCCACCTAAGTGTCTCGTCCGATAGCGACGTTACAAAAACTTTGTTACATAGCATTTGACTGATATTAAGTAAGTTGTAAGATCTTATCTCGGTTTCGTAATTTCTATCTGTTTACCATGGCAAATATTCCACATAACTGTTGACCTCCGAACAGACCCATCGAGATCACCAACCCCTTGATCGTCGCCCTGTCTCGGAACAGGTCCGACACCCGGAACGACCTCTCCGAGTCGAGCTCCTTCGCTTCCACCTGCAGCCGCAACATTTCCCGTTGCACCGTTGGCTCGTGGCCCGCCCTGAACCATCTCACCGATCTGCCAGAGAAGACGAACGGAACGTAGCGAGCGCGACGCTGAAGCGGACGCGATTACGCGATTACGCGATTACCTCATGGCTTCCAGAAGCCGACGGCGCCGCACGAGGTACATCGGCGATTCCGGCACCAGCAGGAAGATCACGAACGCTACAAGCGGCACAACGAACGCAAAGATGGGGAACACGTGGAACGACAGCATCCCGCCGAGGATGTAGGTGAAGAGGATGCCGCTGTTCAAGATCAATGACAACAGGCTACCCAGCATCCCGCGTATCGCGTCGCAGCACATCTCGGAAACGTAGCGCGGTATCACGAACAAGGTCATCGCGCCGCTCACGCCGGCGAAGAACCGGGCCAGCAAGAGGTGCCACTGCTGGGTGGCGAACATTGTGACCAGCCAGGCGACAAGACAGGGTACCATGGCCAAACACCCTGTAACTTTGCAGCCGTACCGCTCCGTTATCTTGCCAACCGTTAGGGTGGTGAACGCAGCCGCCACGCACAAGATCGCGGTCAACCAGGACGCGATTTCGTTCGTCATCGGTTCTTCGCCTACCGGCGGATCCTTGCTCTGCAACACCGGCATCATCGGGGACTGCCAGCCGACCGATATTCCGTACGTCAGCGTCGCAACGTTCACTGAAACGCAAAATTCCGTTTAGCTTCGCCGTTTCCTACGAGCAATAGCTGTTAAAGTGTCGCGGACACCTGGACTCACCCATGATCGCTACGAAAAGCTGTCGCAGCTTCCCCGGCTCGATATCGTCCTTCGTCTGTGCCATGCTTTCCTTTTCTTTACGATAATCGCGGTACGCGCCAGATGCAACCCCTTTCAATCGATCTTGAAACTTGAGATCCGCGGTACGGGTATCGTACGACCTACCGTCCAATTGTTCCCTCTAACGACTCGTCTAACGATCGATTCACCATAGTCTTTCACCTTTACCGTCACCGATCGACGACACCACCTCCAATTTATACCGATCGGTATCCGCTCGGCTACCAAACGAATCGAATCTATCCTGCTTATCTTTTGATCCAAGCATGTATTGTCTCGTACGTGTGACCGCATGTTGTGCGAGAGCACCGTTGTGTGCTCGACAAACACGGCTCGGTTATCTACGTCCCCTATCAGCATCTTCATCGTGAAATCTCTGCGCCTCTCTTCTCTTCACCGTTTTCGTAGTTTTCATAGTTTCCGCGGTTTCCGCGAGAAAATCGATTCCGGTAGGATGCATGTACACATACGTGTTTATGTGTTAGCTGTGTATACAAGTGCATGCTCGCCTTTGATTTACCATCGATCTATTTCATCGCCTCTCACCGATAAGACTAATTTACGACCTCGAGGAGGGAATTGTTCCGACCATTTCCCGCAAGTGGTTGTCTTCGGTTAATTTATGCACTAGGCATATGCAGAAATAGGATTGCAGAATATTGTAGAAATGGATAAGAATTTTTGAGCTCGCTAATTGGTTCATCACGCGAAAGACGTCGCAACGTTTCCAAATCCTGTGCCCACAATGAAAATCCTGCAGCCTGCGGCAATAAATAACTTCTTCCGCAGATCCCGTACGAAAATGGTAGTGCATCATTGCGAAAGAAAATTGCGTGAGATTCCGACATCCTCTATACTCGGAATTATCGAAAAGATTCGATCGTTGTGATCTTGATCCACGATCTATTTGCGTACTATGCACTGCGACATACCTATTTCATGTGAATGTACCTATTTGCGAGAATTATACATATGTAATTACGTGGATGCAGGTTCATCCGTACAGTCAGGATTCGCAAGGTAGCTACATAAGTACATTACGTTACTTGCCAGATACACAACGAACCAGGTACATAGTATTTGATCTTGCAGAAGCATCTTTTGAATTCGATAAGCTTCGTTTACGATTCGTGATTGACACCGTTTCTCGACAAATGTTGCGAAATCGTCGAAGCGAATTCATGTCAAGACGTTTCGTTCTCTTTTTTCCATCTGAAATGCATTCTCCTGCGATCCTCGGTGCGTTCTGTATCTGCCATATTGGTGGCCATATTGTCCGCGCGATACCAGCGCCAGCGATGTTGATCGCCTGGTCCGGGTCTATGGTAGGTAAACGGAATTCTTCCGAATTTTTTCGAAATCATGTTACGTACCATTTACCATTTATCGTTATCGCAATTGAGTCATCTCATTTTCGAACGCTGTGTCGTCTATTGATGATAGTGAATGTATAAATGAAAATTGAAATTCATCATCTCGAGGTAAATATTTTTCATTGAATTACTTCTATTCGAAACTTTCTTCGATTATGCATCCCCTCTAAATATTCCATCGAAACACGATATGTAATCTCAAAAAACATTTAAGAGCAGTGTTTACCCCTTATGCGTCTTGGAAATAGTTCGATGTATAGGCTATGTTCTCAGCGAAAATTCTTGGAATTAATTGACGTGTACGTGTCTCTCTCTTATCGCATGTCGTTTGGCCATCGACAAACAGACACGTTCATTCGGCTGTTGGCTTCGTCGTAATCTCGCAGAAAAACATGGCATGGCACTGCAGTGGAACCACCAATCAAGAAATGATAACTAAACTGAAAGGTATGATTGACACGAATCGTTTCTATGGTTTAGAAAACTCTGTCTATTGCAAGCTCAAAATTACAGATGCAGGCATTCTGACAACCAACAAAGCAGAAGCAGCGATGCTGGCTGTGGACAGGGCAAAGTACTGCCACGAGCCTGACCCTTATCTTGATCGACCAAGGAGAATAGGATACAACGTAACCATTAGTGCTCCTCACATGGTAAGTGAACAAAAGGTGGTTATCGATCTCTCGTAAGAAATAATTCTACAGGGTTAATCGATGGTTACAGCATGCGTACGCGTTGTCTATCCTCTCCGATCAATTGTTCGAAGGTGCCAAAGCTCTGGACATTGGCTCTGGTTCTGGTTACTTGACAGCGTGTATGGCATTTATGGTGGGTCCACGTGGTCGTGTAATCGGCGTCGATCACATCCCCGAACTGATTGAAATATCGTCGAAAAATGTACAGGAGGATTGCTCTCATTTCATCAAAGAAGGACGAGTTAAATTTGTTGGTAAGAATCTCGAATATCTAGAGACGCGTTGTCGTTTTTTTATTTTGCTGCCTACTCGCTGATAGATAATTTCCGATAAAAAAGAAAGACACGGTCTCTTTTTTACGATTAAATGTTACATACACGCTTCTGATACATTCAAGAGTTTGAAAATAACAGATACGCTCAAATGCTAAATAACCGTAATCCACCCACGTGGAGTAGGTTGTGTACCTTATAAGGAAGAATCGAACGGGACTCTGTTCAAGAATTCTATGACTTTGTCGTGCGTTATGTAAAATGATAGACCGAAGTTTAACATCAGGTCATTGTCAATGCGCCTAGTGGGAGACGGTAGATTGGGACATACCGCCGACGGCCCCTACAATGCGATTCACGTTGGAGCAGCGGCGAATACGTTGCCGCAGCAGGTATGAAAACCGCAATTCGAATAATCCAAATCTTAAGATCTCTCCTAAGAATAGACCGCGAATAAATACACGAGTTTCGCCTATTCTAGTTGATAGACCAATTAGCTACTGGAGGACGTCTAATTTGTCCAGTAGTTACCATAGAAGGATTCCAAAGGATTCAAGATTTCCTGCAAGTGGATAAAAATACCGATGGCACGATCTCAAAGAAAAATCTGATGCAAGTTTCCTACGTACCTCTCACGGATCCAGCCACCCAATTACAAACCGATTAATGCATAATCGCGCAAATTTAGAATTTGTTTAGAAAATTTTCTGTGTCGTCTTGAACGGTGACAACGATCGTTACAATTCAAAAAAGGAATCATTTTTGTTCACAGCGGATTCGATGTTACCAAATTAGAGATTTCTTACCGAGGTATGCATCAATAAAATATATTTTCCCTAAACGAATCAACTTTATCACCTTTCACCTGAAAGTTTTATTCAATTTTATGCGACACGCGTTGTGCCAGTCGAAATCGTTCAAATCTATAAGTTCCCGCCAAGTTTTCGCGGTATACGTTCGTAAATTCTATATTGTATATCGAATGAATCGCTACAGATGGCGTTGCAAAATTACCTGCGCTCTCGACCAAGAAAAATTCAATACGTGTAGAATACAGGGAGGAATGATTTCGATCGAATATTACTTTTATCGGTGTAAATAGTGATCAGATACTCATTAAAAAACAGAGAAAAAGGTATGTCTAATACATAAATAAAGAATACAAATGCCGGTTCGAAGCACGTGACCGTTCGGACACCATACGATCGTGGCGCCCATCAGTTGTCAATCTATTCAGTCGTATTTTAATTCGAATGCCATTGAAATTTAAATACCGTCCAGACCGCTGGATACTAACTATTAATCGAGAATGTTCCAAGTAATAAACAAGCATTAAGTACGCAACAATTTACGAAAGCAGTGAAAAGAAAAACCAATCGAAGGTGAACGTATAATTCGAACAGTAATTTAAACAATCTCATAACAACGCGTGCACCACCAACATTGGTAGATAAGATCGCTGCGATCGTTGAAATGAAAATATACTAAAGGTAAAAAATGTGAGAAAATTAAATTATCCGTTAGTTAGAGTTAAGAAGATCGTTGGACAACGATTTAACGTACGAAGTAGAATTTTTGGAAAGTTGTGCAAAAAAGTTGTCTCAACGTCTCAAGCAGTCTTCGTTACCGGCAGTCAGGCAGTCTGTCTGCGTTGTTAGGAAGGGAGTGTTGCCATGCATCGCGGGTAACGACGCCTAACCTATTTCATATTCCATAATAAAGTCGCGACGTGTTTGGAAACTGTGCATAACTGCATGTATACTGTTCTATATGCACACTTTTGTCGGTGTAACGATCTCGTTCGGAGCCGTACGCTGATACCGGAAAAAGCGGTGTGCCGTGGTGAGAAATCTCTGTCGAATACGAAACCAAACCCATCATCGCTGAATCGATAAACACGAGAACGATTTGAAACAGGAATCGTCACAACAACTCAGTGCGAAACGGGTTGAAAATGATGTCCAGGAGCATCCGGCGGCGCCGAACGAAAATAGGCGACGATCATGGATACATGGGATATATCCTCCGGCGAAATTTCTGTGCAGCCGTACAAATTCGAGTCAGCTGTCCACGTTAAAGGGGATGCTTCGATGGCCTGATAGCGACACAGGTATTTCAAGAACTGCATAAACAACATCTGACAATTCGCGACCGGTGTGAAACGCAACGCAATGCAACAGAACGATTGCGTTATTTCTCATGTATCGTTATGATATTCGACCGTTCGATTCGAAAGAAACTAGTGTCGCATGGGAACGTGTTTTCCTCGAACACACGACGGTTCTGTTTTCTAAAATTGAAAAATGTCAAAGTTGCGGAACCATCGAGGTTATCACGAGGTACGGAAGATAACGATAAGAATCGTGCGCCTTACATAAATACAATTAGATATGATCCGACTCGGGCGCAGAAGTGTAATTTTATTTTTAGCGCGCGTCATCGTCTTTCCAAAATGACGTTACACATGTGTTACGTAAATCCCTGCCAAGTTGGAAAATGTTTCCAGCCGTGCGACAGTGATCGTGGAAAACTTGAGATCACATAAATACGATAGAAATGATAAAAAAAAAATACGATAGATAAACACGATGTATGCACCAATGTAATCGCCCGGACTGACCGGGTGAAAGTTGAATAAGAATATATAAATTATATCGAGCCGATCGACTAGAGGTTTTCTAGCCAGTTCGATAAACATCGAAAGAAGCAAAGGCTCGTGGAAAGTATTGGCAAAGAGACACGTGCTAGTTCCAAGCCGGTTTAGCTTTTGTCAATAGATACCGGGTTACTGTTCTTAGTCGATGGAAAATTACCTGCAAGCCAGCGTAATTTACGTAAATAAAATAGCATGAACACGAGTATAGTAGCACAGCTAGCCGAGACGGAAACAGAAAATGCCGGGAATCGTCCACCGGGGTACCGGTGAACCGTAAACCTCAAGAATAATCGCGAGATCAAACGGACACGTAATTCCATTTCGGGGAAAAGATTACCGAGACGATCATACTTAAAATTATAGTCAGCGATTCCGTGTAAACTGTAACGGTATGCAACGATCAACGCCGAAATATCGATGCATTGTGCATAAAAGTGTCCGCGTACCGTAAGGCTGCACGCTTACTCTTCGGAGCATTCAGGGAATCGAATGGTGAAAGGCACAACCGGTTTTTTAGCGGGTGACGCATTACGCAAAGGGATTAAAAGGAAAGAAGGCAGGCTGATCCGAAACTCGACCTTCGGTCGCGTACACTCGGACTCGCGACGCAAGTTAGTCATCAATTTTGCAGGTTGCTCGATCGATTGTAGAATTAATGGAAAAAAAATGAGGGTGGTCTTGCAACCACCGTTGTAATGTCCGCGATCGGCATCTATGTATACATATATATATATAGCGTAACGTAACGCAACGTGATGTAACGTGCCGTCGGAGTGAATGGTTATATCGCGATTCGAGTCGTAGATCAAAATGTGACGGTGCCGATTTTCTTATCCCCACGGTGAGCAACAATTACGCCACTGATACGCGGCCGGCCATAGGCCGTGGTCACAGCTAAGCATTATATAGAAAAACGAATATAAACATGCTGATAAGGTTCGTATCGCGACCTTCCGCGGTGAGAACATTCTCCTGTGAGTTAATGACGCACACATTGGATCGCATTCCGTTTTTCCGCGTACAGAACAGTAAAATGTTAACCGTGCGCGCGCGTGGATCCTGTGTAGTGTGACCATTTGCCTGCACAACTTAGAGACGTCCCTCGCGTCCGCACTTTCCTCTGACTAGCCCACAGTGGAAGGTTTCTAGAGTCACACTGATCCTGTGCAGTAAGCCAGCGAGGCGCCGCTCGTGCTCGGTTGCTTTGGTTGCGGCGGCTTCGGCTTCGGCCTTCCTCGAGCCACGAGGCACTCTGGTCACAACCGGTCATCCACCGACAAAACAAATCTCCTATTTGTCCAACGACATGAGAGTGCATCAATTGCAAGGTAATTCGTCTACCGGTTCGGACGAGGCCCACGAGTTCGCCATTGTGTACAGTGTTACGACGTGCAACCAGTTGAACCGGCACCGCACGCGTATTACGGAAGGATGCCAAGGTCATTGTCGTCCGATAGGCGTTTCACGATCATCGGTGTGACCACGAAAGCTCGTTACGGTTGCGTCGTTCTCTTCGACTTACTTTCTTCCTGAAACTTCTCCGCTCGTATATGCTTACCGTAATCGTCTCTGTTATCCGCGACGATCGGATGCCACCGCGTCACGGATTAATAGCTTAATTGATGACGGCATCTGCCATAATTGCGAATCATCGCGACTGAAATTTGTAATTAAACCCAAGACTGCGGCACAGTGCGACGCTGTTATCAGAATGAATCGACGTTTCGAGGAGGCGTTCGGACAAGGGAATGCGCTCAGCACATAAGATCTTCGCTGTGAGTCTTTAGCAGTTTCCTTCGAGATGTTAACAAAAAAAAGAAAAAACCGCAAGCGGTGCCGCATTAATTGCTAATCGTCGTGCCGGAGATCGACCAGTAGTCGTAGTTGCGTACCTCGTTTCCGTGACGGTTCTCGCGGAGACATAATAGCCGACATAATTCACCGGGTTATCGTAGATACGGATGATACGTAGAACGCGGGTCTGGAACGTGTTGCTATAACTCGCACGTGCAACGGACAAAATTGTTTCACGATGAGCGCGCGACGGGTCTTCTCGCCACGTTATCGCCGCGTAATTGTGATCTCTTGCGCAATATCGCGGCAGCTTCACGAGCCAAGATTTTCCACGATTCCGCGTAAATTCGTTTCAATATCATCCATCGGCAGGCAGTTGTCGCCGCGAAAGGTAGTCAGGCTTCGCGGGATCAATCAATCGATTGATCGCGTATCGACGCGTTGATAAGCGATCGTGATGCAGCAGATACTTGGGGGCGAGCCGACTCATGCTCGTTACTCGGAGAACTGCTTTTTGCACGCTATCGATCGACGGCAATTTATGAAAACTCGGCGTGGATCCCAACGATCTCATTTTTCCCTACGGTGACAACGCGTTATTCACGAGCAATCGTTCGCGCTCGCGGTAGTTCTTCAGTACTTCGAAATCGTACATCGAGATCACGTTACATCGCCACGGTCGCTCGCGACGATTTTCCATTATTTTGCGAAATTCTATTTGTTTACCGGATCGAATTATTGCTTGCAGCTGGTGGAATCGAAGCAACGATGCAGAGTTGTTGCGACAACAAGGAAACCAACGACCTTTACAAGGATGTGGTAATTATAGGTACGCGGCGATGGTGGTAATTATAGGTGGAGAAGAGTGCGAGAGAGTGGAAGATTAAAACACAATCGGTCGATGGTTTATTTTACCGGGCAGGAAATGGACCCAGCGGTATTTGCCTGTCCTACATGCTCGCTGGAAACTGGCCGTACTACACCGGCGAGCCGCATCCCGGGGACGAGATGCTGACCGCCAGGCTGTGCTCTAGCGTGGCGAACAGCGAGTTGGACTTGGAAAGAAACGGAATCAACAACCAGCAACGATGGCAGAACAGGTTCGATGGATGCGAGAGGAAAAACCAAGACAGGTGTTTGGCGCGCAGCACAAGGTGCAAACTCAAGTGTCTCTCTTCCGGGCTAGAGGGTAGGGTAGGTGGCCGACCTCTGGCCCTTCTCATGGATCAACTGCAGCATCCTGGCGTGGACAGTGGCTTCGACGTGCCGTCTCTTCTTACTTGGAAATCCCGGGAGCAGAATCCCGAGCACAAGCTGATCGACCACGTCGTGCTCGGCAAGGGCCGACCAGGAGGCGCGTGGCAGGTAATCGATCGTCGCATCTTTTTCTGCATTCGATGATTCATTATCCGGTCTTCTCAATACTCGTACGACTATTTCAGTCGATGGATCCGAACGTGCTGACCATCAGCTTGAACCGATGGATGTCGTTGCCAGACTTGGATATCAGAGAGTGGGAGACGATGGTAGAGTCCGAGCAGCTTCGGAAAACCAGCTCGGCGGACGCCACGGAATCGTATACGCATAAAACGGCGAGTAGAATTTCTGTTGGAACAGTGGCCGCCTACTACGACGACTACATACGGATAAAGAGACTAGAGCAATATTTTCGATGGTGAGTCAAACCCTTCGGTCTTATCTGTCGTCCCTCTATTCGGTCTATCGTTCCTCTTGTAACGATGAATGCGATGTTGCAGCGGGACCATGGTCACGTCCGTAAGGGCAGATCGCGTTTCGCACGGATGCGAACAGGACTCGCGATACGGATGGATAGTGGAGGGGTTCGTAATCGAGACCGGGCAGCCGTTCCGATATCGGTGCAAAACGGTCGTTCTCGCGACTGGCAGCACCGATTCGCCGAATCGGTTAGGGATACCAGGCGAGGATTCGCAGCCCGAGTGGGTGACACATCATTTAAACGATCTCGAGATGAAGTTGGATAGGCTGGTCAACCGGCGGATACGCGTGGACGCGCCCCTGTTCCACCGAACATGCGAACGCAGCCATAGGCGATGTCGAGCTACGGATTCCGATTCGGACGAGCAACCCGCGAAACAAATCATGCCCGTTCTCGTGATCGGAGCGGGACTGAGCGCGGCGGATGCGATCATGGCCGCGCGTTTCCGTGGCATTCCCGTGTTGCACGCGTTCCGGGACACTTCGTACCACACCGAGGATGGAAAATGGAATAAGTCTGAAGACGAGGAAACGCAACGCATCAAGTACAAGAAGCTGCTGGGCCTTCCCAGTTCCATGTATCCGGAGTATCACAAAGTTTACGAGATGATGGAGGACGGAGGTAAAAATTACCCTCTGTATAGAGCGTTGCCTGGATACACGTTGCTCGAGATATCCGAAGCCGGGAACGATCGCCACACCAACGAGCCCATTCGAGCAGCCACACTATCGTCTCCGGACGGTCGGGTGTGCTCGTTTCGCGTATCGATCGTCGCGATACTGATCGGTAGGTGTATATTTGTGTGTATGTGTTATCCGTATTCGGATAATCGCGTCGTACCACTTTCATCGTGAACACACGAACCAACCGGTATTACCATTCGCAGGCTCCAAACCAGACTTGTCGTACCTCGAAGGCGGCGGTATCGGTCTCGGAAGACTGTCTGACAAATTGATAGACAGTAAATCGAACCCGATAGAGGTCGACGACTTCACGTACGAGGTGATCGAGTCGCCGAAAGCTGGCCTCTACGCTCTGGGACCCTTAGTCGGTGATAATTTTGTACGTTACATACTTGGTGGAGCGTTCGGAATTTTAGCACACACATTGACGACGTCTACCACCTGAGGCGAGTACCGGAACCACGTTCCGGTATGATTGTTATCCGTGCAGGAGAGCGACCAACGATCGAGTACAAGACAACTGGTTAGATAATTCGCAACAAGCACCAAGCTACAGTCATACAGCAAATCAAAACGCAAATAGCCAATTCAGCGATACTTTTTACAGGGTAGCATTTTTTTAAACGCTCAATCTATGTACGATGTTGGTAAATACTTGAGTAACGCGTTCGTTGGGTTGGCTAGATGCGGTTAAACGAGAGAAAAATCGCCCTCGCGTCAGTTATAAAAGGTACGATATCGGAGGTAAAGGTATCTCATAAATGTTAGACATAAACATTGTTCCAACTACAGATCACTTGAATCAAAATGTTTCGTTATAGATCTTGCTGTTTATTAACACATCTTCGAGTCCTATCGGTCCAGTACGATATTTACGTTAACATTGTGTAGAATTGTATAACGTTCATATATACGTTTACTTACATATTCTTTTATGTTAAAATGAAAGAGAACACGATGTTTCCGCGTAAAACGTGCCTCTATATATTTCGAAGTTTATCAGGAAACGCGTGAGCTTCCGATTGCTGCGTATGCGTACAACAAATTTCTTTTTATTTAATAGTTAATTTAAAATTTCAGATGTTAATGTTGAAATTGACAAATCCAAAAGTTACTTTCGCATATTATTTTAACTGTATTTCCCATTTTCGTTGAGTGTTTGATACCGCGCACAGAATGTATACTACACGACAACGGTATTTCCATCCGAGAAATATCAAGCTATAACAACTTTATTGTATAGCGGTTCGGAGTTTTGCCCCGATACATGTAAACCTTACTTTTCTTGCCTTATGTTTTGAATACAACGAAAAGACAACTAACCAGAATAATAGCTCCGGCAAGAATAACTATGCAGTACAAATTTTTATTGGCCCTTTGATAAGAGTCTGCCTTCTTTAATTGTTTATAACCTTCCTGCACTTGTACTTGCGTTTGTTCAATGTTATAATCGATTCTATCCAAGATAGTGCCTTGGTCCTGTACCATATTCGTTAAATCCTGTTTGGAGAGAATATTGATGAAACTTCGAAATCCTCGAAACTTTTAGTAGCTCCTAGAAAAGTGTATTACCTCGAATATATGTCGGAGATCCGCTATACTCTGCACTATGCTGCCAATTTGTTCTTCTCTCTCCATAGCAAACTTCATTCTATCTTTTGGATCTTCCAACTGTAAAAGTACAGAGTCTTGACGTTGTTCGTTTTCGTACCAAGATTCGGCGTTCGTTTGATCGTAGTCAAATAACCATGTATCGTTCGTGGCATTGTTCGAAAATATCGATTGATCTTCGGTAAAAAATTGATTGCTTCTCTCTTCCCTCGATTTGATCTCTGAAACGGTACGAATAATTGCTCGACGCTCCAAGCCGAAATGATTTGTCCGACGATACTAGAGATAATTATTTGTGTAGGATACGTACGCGTCAAATAATGATTTTGAGCGGACCTGTATCGAAGTGCGAGCTCTTGCAGAGCAGCCGAGAGAGCAGACACCGCGCTCGTCGCTAATTGACGCTCGACGGCTTTAGTGGCATGCCTGGCTGCGGTTTTTATACTTTGCACTTGTCGGTAACCGTTGGAAAATAATCGTCCAATTTCTCGTGTCTGTTGTTCCATTTGCCTTTCTTCCTGTAGACATGTTTTTAACGATTTGCTCTCTGACAATTATTACAGTGGCACTGTGCAACGGCTGTTACAACAACTCGTTAACATTCGATACGACGCGACAAGGGTGTCTTGGTCTATTAATGTCATTGACAAACCTGCGACGTATCGTCCAACGTTGGCCTGGTTAACTGTTTCCCTTGCAATTCTACCAAACAGTCTACTTTCACGCGTAATTTGTTTAAAATCTCTTGCGTCTGTACAAAAGCATCTATCCAAACAGGTGGTGCGCTATTTTCAAAGTTGATATTGTTTAACTCTACGTTGTCCGAACTGTCGGGCTCCGAAGCTACCAGTGCCGTTCGATCGGATAGATTCTGAAAAGATAGACCGACCCATTTACAATTTTATTCGATCTTCTCCACGTGAATAATACGATTTACGTGAAAATTGAAAATTCCTCCATTATCGCGAGGTTAGAAGAACGATACCTGCTCGGGATATATGCGTCTACTCCGCAACGCATTATTCCGCATCAAAACGTACGGCTCTGTCAAATTTCTCATAGCCATTTTTGCCAATTGTTCGAAGCCACTTCGATGAAACGTTCACAACACTGAATCATCCATTGTTAATTGTTACCTCCTCGAGATTTCTCCGTCTGTCATCGTGAAACGACCTAAACAGCTGATCACTCAGTTGTACCAAAATCACATCCTAAATTTTGTTGATCACTGATAACCACTGGAACCGTCTACGAGAAATTCTTGACGCGTTCGAAACATCATTTTATATTTATCTGATCTCATTGGTGTCTTATATGAGCCAACCAATGAAATATTTGCCTTACATGTGCATCCATATGTGTGTTTACAATAATGGTGCGTATCGCGTTAGCATTAACCTGAATCTCTACTAACACAGTATTAATCCAACTGCATTTGATTTTCGTACAATTTCGATTAATAGAATCTTCTTCCAAAATTAAATGGTTCCTTTCTCTAGTTACGTGATAATGTATTCTTTTGATTGAAAATCTTCCTTAGTTTTAATGGCGCTATCTACGCCACGGTTAAATGTTGAACTACTACTAATAGAATTCATATGAACGTAGCGTATTCCAACGAACCGGTAACGTAAAAAACACGGATTAAACACGTCCTGCTAACTAGTTATCGTTGTAACAATTTTATATTCTACGTTACATGTATATTTTATATATGTATATATAAGCACTCAAAATTGTTAATTAATATGTAACTCATGAAGATTTTCAAGAGGTTATAATTTGCTAACTAGCTTGGTAGTGTAACGAAAACTATCTTTCCACTCTTTATTTTCCAAACTTCCATTATCGCTATAAATACGTGATGTTGCAAAACTATTCTTCTTTAAACAACATTAGGTTTATTCGTAATCGTTTCGATAACTAATGGTCTGGTTGCATAAAGGTTTCCAATAATCACTTGTCTCTTAATGATGTCTAGTGCTTCTTTCCCTTTCTCGTGTTGCTTGGTAATTTCTGCTTGATCTACAAGTCTTTTATTTTCTTGAAATTCATGCCGAATTTTACGCAAAGCATACATCCTATATGAAAAGTAAAAAATAACACGTGTGTAGTACTCTGTGCAAGCAATATAATCGGCTTGTCTTCGTTTCAATGTTAATAAGTTAACAATAAAGTGCCATTAGAAATATTAAACGTAGAATAATCATTTCAATTATGATCTTGGCTTCGTTCACTGAAGTTCGTACTTACCGGTAGTTGTATGAATTCCATTTTTTGCTTTCTCGAATTAAATTTCGATAAAGACTTAATACTGCATTTCGATTATTGGCCATCGTTTACAATACATCATAGGTTACACAAAGCAATTGTTATTTAACTCCTAGGTCATATTTTAACCATAGACAGTGGCGCCTCTTTTGCAGAAAAAATGAAGTTCTGTCCAGGCTCTATACAGCGCCAATTAGTAAATGGCAAAACGCTGAAACTGTTAACCAAACAGTGGCGTTACTCGTGGTGATATCTGGAAGCTCTTTTTAAGATCTATACAGCGCCAGTTAGTAAGTGGCAAAACGCTGAAACTGGTAGCCAAAATCAAGTTTTATTTTTCTCTGCAAGAGGCGCCACAATTATGCAAGTCGAATATCGCGTCGCGATATTTATCTCATCAACCAATCAGATTTCTCTACTTACTTCATGCTGTTAAACTGTTTGCCCCCGCTTCGCTCGCTAAGGTGAGGCATTACTCTATTCCGAATATTCCTCTATTCCGACCATATCTCCTCTATGCCTCTACTTGCAAAAACACCATTTATATTATATTGTATACTTTCTGAAACCATGTAACTTATATACAATTAATGTTTCCTTCAGTCCATCTATTCTTTATATGCATAAACGCACGTCACATAGTAAGTTATTACAATAATGTTTTGATGCCGGTGCAAGGTGTTTCCTATTTGTTATTAATTTGATACATTATTTCAGTCTGATATTTCTGCATAAATGGCGTGGATATAAACAAGATATTTCAAAGATAAATGCAAGTTAACCTTTTACAGAATGCTGACGAGGTTAAAAAATTGTTAACTGTTTGTAAACGATATTGAATGCAAATAATTACAGGTTTTTGCATATAATATTTTAAAAATAATTTTCTAGGTGTAGAACCTGTACGATGATGAAGTTCAATTATATAAGGTCGTTAATATGCCGAACTTTGTCAACTGATACCAAGGTGCAAGTACAAAATGAAATAACGTTACTTGGTCATAATTATCCAAAAGATGAATGGACAAACATAACCCCGAATATTATTTCCAAACTGGGAAGAAACCTGCACCTTACTCGGTATCATCCTCTATCTCATATCCGTCAACGCATTGTTAATTACTTTTATACGCAATTTCACAATCGCAGTAGGAATGTTACATTTAGTGTTTATGACAATATGTCTCCTATTGTGACAACAGCTCAACATTTTGATTCTCTTCTTGTACCAAAGGATCATCCAAGTAGAACAAAAATAGATAGCTATTATGTAAATGAAGATACTTTACTACGAGCCCATACAACAGCACATCAAGTCGAACTAATCTCTATGGGATTGAATAATTTTCTTGTCATTGGAGATGTTTATCGCAGGGATGAGATAGATAGAGTACATTATCCTGTTTTTCATCAAGCCGATGCTGTTAGATTGTGTACAACAGAAGAAGTTTTTCAAAACACAAACAATTTGAATGAGTTAAAACTGTTTGAACACAGAGGAATAGAAAATAATGAAAAACAAGGATGTCATACGTTAGAAGCTGTTAAAATAATGGAACACAATTTAAAGAATACCTTGACTGGATTAGCACAGACACTTTTTGGTCAAAGTATGATAGTTGTAATGATACAAATTTAGCATATTTGTCAAATATTCGTGAAACATAGATCTGAATGTTTATTTATAGATGTTCAGTTGAAATGGGTGGAACAATATTTTCCTTTTACTCATCCATCATGGGAATTAGAAGTATTTTATAATGATCAATGGCTAGAACTATTAGGATGTGGAATCATGCGCCAGGAAATTCTGCAAAATGGAGGAGCAGGAGAACGTATCGGATGGGCCTTTGGTTTAGGTTTAGAAAGAATAGCAATGTGTTTATACGATATTCCTGACATTAGATTGTTTTGGACCAATGATACTGGTTTCTTAAATCAATTTATATTCGAAGATGCTAATACTACGGTTAAATATAAGGTAAATAAAAAATATACTTGAATTGTCAAAAGCAGCCAATGTTTTGAAAAAGAAAACTAATGATATTTTTTTTAGCCTGTTAGCATCTATCCACAGTGCAAAAATGATATAAGCTTTTGGTTGCCCAAAGACGGGAATTATTCGTCGAATGATTTTTACGACATTGTAAGAGATATAGCTGGCGATGTGGTAGAACAAATTATATTAAAGGATACGTACTCTTGTCCTAAAAGAAATCAAGTGTCACATTGTTATACTATAGTGTACAGACATATGGGACGGACACTCATAAAAGCAGAAATCAATTGTCTGCATAATAAAATAAAGGAAATCGCTACTGCGAAATTAAACATATCAGTTAGATAAACAAATATAATAAATATGTTTGAAAATGTAGGCTTGTCCATCAATATTACCTAAATACCATAACATTGAATACTACATAATACCAATTATCAGATTATCCAAAGTAAAAAACTTGGTCAGACGAAGCAATATATTGTTTTATTTGCACATAAATTAATTACAAATATGTGATTAGGTCAAATAATATTCATCTAAGAAAAGTATATCGTCTATGATAC